AGCAGCTGAATGGTCATGTTAAATTCACATTTTGTACATCAATAATTGTATAGAATTTACAGATAAACACCTGTAACAAACATCTGTAGCAAAAAAGTACCTATTTAATGGAGTTATATTCTGTGATATTTGTAGTCATTTTAAAAAAATCAATTTGATGTATTTTACAAACAGGTTTAAATTTGTCCATCATCATAACTTCATTGTGGTTCCATTTTGAGTATCTCTCTCTTCAATTTTATAATATACCGGTATATACCGGTTTCTCGATCATGTTTTATTCTTTTTTTCACAATTATAATAAGATTTTGACCACAAACTGCAGGAATAAAACTGCACAAAAGCATTTTAGCTGTGCACAGTAAATTTATAAAGCTCATGTGCAGATTACTGAAGTAATTCTTGCTGTTTTTGGAAACTGTGTTTTACAGTATGGCTATGCACCTGACAAAAGGATGTGTTGACCCCAGAAGCCCAAGATTATAATTTTGATAATCTGAAATCTTAAACTGATGTAAGTTCAGAGGCTGTGTTATGTACTGGTATTATCTTGACACGAAATCCACTTCTTTCAACATACAGTTTAACCTCTTGTGGACTGTGAAGATCTTCGAAGTTTTGAAAATAATCTAAATATCAGATATTAATTTAGTCGTTAATAATTCAAAATATCTGCATTGATCTGCATTGATAGCTAAAAAACTGAGTGAGAAGCTTTGCATCTTTAAATTTTTCAAAACAATATACCCCCGGGATCTTTCGATCCGGGGGCATAAAAAACGTCAAATCTGAGACATGTATTCCTAAAAAAAGAAGTGTCAGATTAAGGAAGTACGGGTTACTGTAAACCAATTTTTTATTCCCTCAACAACTTGCAAATGGACAGTTTGAAATCTATCAACGACGGATAATTTTTCAAAACTGAGGAAATTTACATGAATACAATGTACATAAGAGAAAAATAGTTAGCAGTGAGAACTATTCACACTAGCAAAGTAAGATTGTGAAATTCACATATATATTTCTCGCACACAAAATTTTTTGACACAATGTGCTCTCCTAAAGAAGATAGAGTTGAATTCATTGACATTTATTTCTTCTAATATACATTCTATAGGGGACTTTTGGTAAAGTACAGTATATTAAATCTATATATTTGTACTTTTGTCTCTTTTTACCTTACAAGCCCTGGATTTATTGCATAACACTTTCAGTTGCAGAAAAAAATGAAGAATTTATTATTCTTTGAAGCATTTGAAGATGTATTTGCACAAGTATTTTGTTATTTATGGCAAAAATTCAAAATCCTGATTATCTTATGTTTGTATGTTTTGAAAAAACAGTACAAGTATTTTTCTAGAAAAGAATTTTGTTGGTTTTAACACCTGTAACATCATTAGTTTTTTTAAAGAACCGATGTAATGCGAGCTTTGCAAGACTGCAAGCTAAAGATGTTAATAGAGCTAAAAAAAATAAAAATAAACATAAACCCTGAGTGATTGAGTGTGAAATAGGATTTCAATCTACTTGAGAATTAGCAAAAGTGACTGGTTTTGTGTTTAAATATTTGATTGCACTCAAAATAGAGAAATCCTAATCTTTCAAGTTCAAATGTAAATAATGTACATCAAATAATTGTAGGCTGAAGTTGAGGCTTTGAATATTAAAGATAGAGGTAAACAAGCAGAAAACAGTTAATTTGTATGTGGTATTGATATTCACATCGTGTGTATGTTTGTTTGCTGAATAGTGTATAATAGTGTTTCATTTGAAAAGACAAACATTCCATTAAGAGAAAATTTGAAGTATATTATTAGCTGAACTAAGCCGGAGGCTGAAGTCAGCTTTTTGGATCGAAATTTGTCCATTGTCTGTCAACTTTGTTGTTGTAATAGATGTAAACTTTTCACATTTTCATCATCTTCTTCAAAAAAACTGGACCAATTTCAACCAAACTTGGCACAGAGTATCTTAGGAGAAGGGGATTGATTCAAGTTTGTTCAAATGAAGGGCCACACCCTTTTCCAAGGGAAGATAATCAAGAAATAGTGAAAATTGGGTGGGGGCATTTAAAAATCTTCTTCTCAAGAACTACTGGGCCAGAAAAGATGACACTTATGTGAAAGCTTCCTGACATAGTGTAGATTCAAGTTTTTTCAAACCATGACCCCCAGGGGAAGGGTGAGGAAACAATGGGTGATGAAAGTTTTACATAAGAATACATAGAAAAAAAACATTAAAATCTTCTTCTCAAGAACATGCAGCAAAGCCATGGTTAGTCATATTTATGTGGAAGCATCTTTAGGTAGTGTAGATTCAAATTTATTCAAATCATAACCCCCTGGGGTAGGGCTTGGCCACAGTGGGTGATCGAAGTTTTATATAGGAATGCATGAGAAAAATCTTTTAAAATCTTCTTTTCAAGAATAGTAAAGCCATGATTACTCATATTTATAATGATCATCCTCAAGTTGTTTAGATTCAAGTAACTTGAATCAAGTTTGTTCAAAATCATGACATCCAGGGGTAGGGTGTGACTGCAATGAATGGGCAATAAATGTTGTACATATAGCATGAAAAACGTTCCTGAAAATTATGGCCATATTGCGAGAATGGTGATGAATTGAATGGCAATAATTTGTGAAATTGACTGCATATACAAATCATCTCAAGAACTGATGAGGAGCTCCAGCTAGTCATACTGAAATGTAAAGCAGTCCCATGGCATTTAATGTAGATGCTGAAGTTTGTTCAAATCATATGGCATGTTTTATAAACTGATCAAGGCTTTCATTTTTGTGAGCAATGCTGTCCATGGGCCTAGCTCTTGTTAGTAGGTTCCAGAAATCCTTAGCATAAAATATTTAAATAGGAAGGAAATAAGATTGTGACTGAGATTTGTTAGTGGTGCACTTTTGTCTATACATACATTCAATTTGTAGCTATAAATAGCATTACAGATGTTTGCACAAAGATTAAAAAACAGGAAACAAACTTGCAGCAGAAGAAAATTCTTCACTTTGAGATAGGGGAAGTTCTATATGTCACAGTGTTTTATATCAAGTCAAGGTCAGAGTATAAGCCATCTTTGCCATCTAAATGTAATATAAGTGTTAGTATTTGTAACTCCAGTGTTTTATTATCTTTATTAATTCAAATTGTTGCTTCGAACTATGAGATGGCATTGAAATCTTCATGACTTTTATTGATAAGAAGAGAAACAATTTATTGTTCCTTTTTAGCATAGTAGTTCATCCGGTATTAGAAATACATACCCAATATATATCCTTGCCTTAATAATTCTTACAGTAAATTTTAATCACTTTTGCATATTGAACATTTATTGAATTATGGAAAATAGAAATAATGCCCAGAATTCATTCCTTGCAGAAAAAATTTTTGAATATTAAATAAAGTGCAAGTTTACTTGTGGTGTATTCTATCTGATAAAATAAATCTTGGACAGATAGTTAGAAGGTCTTATCATCACATCGTAGCTTCTACTCGACATATGGGGGTCCCGACCTCTCACAATTCGAACTCTGTCCTCTTATCATAGTGTTATCATGTAATAGCACTCGAAATGTCAAATAAATATTTCTGTTCGACAGAAATTTTCAATTATTAAACTGAATATTCTAGCTTTGACTTTTTTTTTACCCATTGTTATTGACCAACACAATCCATGTCTTTTCATACTTTTATATCTCCTAAGACTGCGTACTCCATATTGTCATGAAAGACTAGGATGGCAATCCGACTTTTTTCTACGACATAATTTGGTAGCTAAGGTTTTTCTTTTTTGATTACATTGGTGTAATCAGGAAAGAACATCTTTATTATTGCTGTTAGTATTTGGTGTGGGGTTTTTCCCCTTCGATTCACAGATAGCGTGTCTGTTTGGACAAAAGATACCAAACATCCAAAATACATCTAACAATAGTATGATATATGAAGTTAAAATTGCATATTCATAAGAGAAATTTAACAAAAACTAAAATAATTCAAATGAAATTTATGATTGAGACAATTTACTATGCATTTTTATCTTAATTGCATGGATAGAAACTTTTTATAAAAACAATATTTCACTGCATATTAGAGCAATTTGATGCATGTATTGATGGAGACACTGATTGAGTTATGTTTTTAACTTTGTTGTGCAGGCTATGATATTTATATCAATGTTCAGGAAGGATATTTAATAAGCAATAATTGTCTCATTGAGGAAGCAGAGTCTCTCTGTTTATGACTTAGGAACTGGCTGCTCGAGATTTTCTCCTGACTGATGCGAGATGCAAACTTTTGATGCAATTATATTTTACTCTTATCACAATCTTTTGCCTGAACTAGAGTAGGAAATATATTTGCATTGTGTAAGGGATGGTAAAAAAAAAGAGGAGGAAAGGAGGGAAAAAAAACTGTTTCTATTGTTAATTTTAAAAATCTAACTGGCATACTATATTGCTGTAGATAATTGAAAACATCATATGTAAATTGCGAGAAGGTGATGAGGTAATTGTTTTCTCACCTGAGACTCCTTGATGAAAATTTTGTGGAGAGCCAAAGATTTAAGAGGAAGAAGAGCTTACAAGAAGTGTTTGCGGCATTAATGAATCAATACACAAAAGATTAACTCGGAAGAAAGTCATTGAAAATATATACTTTTTCCCGACACTTTTTCGAAGCAGGGTTAAACGTCTGATTGTAGGATAATGAACTCTCACATGGATATTTAACACAGAGAAGAGGATGTTTTTTAATGGCTGTTGTTTCAAAGAGGGGGATTAGAGATTGCAGTATTGATATTTAACCATGTATTTGCTGAATATATAGTTAGTCTCTAAGAAGAATTCCTTGTGTGGATGTAAGATGTTTACAAACGGGCAATATCTTATTCTGCAGGATTGAGAATATTTATGATCACAAAGAAACTGTTACCTGTATATCATTCTTTGTAAGACTCTTCCAAAAAAAATAATTCCTCGCATACAAATCAATAACGACAAAATGCTGAAAAATCAACATGTTTTTGCACTTCGTCATAAACTATTGTCATCAGAGTGGCACAGTGTAATTAAATATGAGACTGTATGTGCTGAAAGAAAAAATGGGTGGAAAATAGCAGTATTTGGCAGTTAAATCCTGTTTTGTTTTGTTTTTTCTTTTTTGAGTTGTGTTTGGTTGGAGATTTTGTGCATCAGCGAGATAGCTGATTGATACACAGTGGTCACAAACCCTCAGGTGTCTCATTGCGATAATATTAGATAAAAGTGGGACACTTATTTCAGTTTTTGGGGGGCAGTTTTGTGTTGCCTGGTATTGATCTATGGTTTTAAAAATCGAAGAGATTTTTTTTATGAAGAAAGACTTTATTTTATTGTGTGGGAGATCGGATGACTTCTCTTTAGAAAAAAAAATATTGCGTAATTTCCTTGTTTAGTCATGGAGTCAAGTGAAAATGGAGATAAAGGATTGAACGGAGAAACAGTGATTGGCAGTGGAGATAATGAGACTCATGTGGAAGACACAGAGAGTTCCACTTTGTTATCCACTTCCACACCTGGAAGTGGAGAGGAGGAGGGTGGAAATTTAGTGCATGGAAGTGGAGGGTTTAGGAGCAAATTCCAGGTCACCCCAGCTATTGTTGTTCATGAGGTGGGAATAGATCAAAATGGTAAACCATACAAAGTGGATATTGATGATGAGCATGGTAAATAATCCTTTAATAATCTTGTGAATAGTAATGATAAATAGGGGAGGAGGTTTGGGGGAAAAGGGGGGGTTAATACATGTATACTATGATATATTGTGTAAGGCAAATACTGTTTTGAAAATATTATAGATGATAAAGGTGTTATCTCTATGGCATGAGGAAGTTGAGGGTACAAAATATGTATATATTGCAATACAGTAAGATATTTGGATGGCTGTAAAAATTTTACTTATTTTGATCGAATAAAAAAAAACCAGTTGCCATCTTGGCAAATTTGAGCATCTATAATAAACAAACCCAGATGAGATCTTGACATGTTCAAGAATTTATTCAGTTGTCTCAAAGTACATGAAATGGGCAATAAGTTGTTAACAAAATAAAATTCGCAGATATTGAAAATGGAATTGATTTTCTATTTTATTTAGACAGGCGAAATAGAAACAGATCTCTAATAAAAAGTATGTTCTCATATTGCATGTACATGTTATATGCTGAGATGCTTTGTGAAGTTTTGAGATATGCAGTGACCTGTGACCAAGTTGCAACATATATATGTCATTGTGAACTATGTAATAGATACCAGAAAAGTGTTCTGTCTATGTACACTTTCAAGACATTTAAAAGATGACAACAATAAAACTACAGAGCTTTTTTAAAGAAATTTATTATGATTTGTTTCATAAAGAAAAAATGCAGTGCAGTTTTTGTTGTAAACAATTTTGTTGCACTGTGGAAAAAAAACCTCCAATCAGTTTAATGAGCTGACTGCTTTTGACATCAATATCTTCAGTTTAAAACCCAGCTGTGTAAAGATGTTTTCTTTTTTTTTTTCCAATTCATCGATTGTTTTGACTAGGAACATTGTAATTCCATCAGTGAAATATAAACATGCAGATTTTATATATCTTGTTAACTTCAGATGTCTCAACTCAATAAGATGTACAGGGTTTACGTGGAATGTTTTGAGAGCTAGAGTAGCACTGGTTATGTCATATACAATGTACCTGGTTAATAGAGGTCTATTGAGACATAGAAAAATGCACTTTTCGTAGGAATAAACTATAATCTTTAAATTTGATTTGAGCAGATGAATGCATGCACTTTTAGGTGATAAAAAAGATAAACAATGCAAAGTCTTTAAGACTCCAGTAATTAGTGCTTCAGATGATATGACAAATTGTATATGATATTAAGTGCAATCAAATCTGTTTTTCTTTTATTTCTGTTTGTTTGTTTTTGTGTTTGTATTTTTGTCTGATAAAGCAGATGAAAATAATAGGGAAAAGCTTGCAGTCTTTATTCCAGTTTAACCAAAGAGAAATCTGGAAGGTTCAGGAATTGTGTATTGCAATGTTTGTTGTTGCCAAGAACTAATTGCCTTGGAGAACACACAGTGTTTGTACTAAATGCAGAAAGCAGATTGGAGGCTTGATTTAAGCAAGCTTAAATCTTGTTAATTTGTCATTTCTGTATGTTATGTTGCACTCAGTGTGAAAATTATGAATTATAAACATGTAATCAAAGCTGATATTTTATTGATCTTATCTGCATGGTCAAATTTGTGAGGTCCTCGAAAATGAGTTTCAGATTAGAATTTTGATGTTTATAAAGGATTGTTTTTGGAAATGGAAAATGTAGTATTCTCATTAGTTGCAGCAAATGCTTAGACGATCATGTCTGCCAAAGTGTAACCTTACGTTGAAGACTTATGTTGCTAAATGACATTCTTATTAAAGTCTCAGATATTGAGCAAATATTTAATATGAAATGTGTAGACAAATCATTTTTCAAAGCATCCAGGTAAATACGTCTTTCTCTGTTGCATAACAGCATTTATTTGAGTAGTGATGTAGCTGAATTCTGCCTATTGCTGCTCATTATTTGCATCATTATCAAGAGATTAAAGATGAGCACAATATGACTTTCAAATTCAATAGATTTAAATGCCATGTTGTTCCCGGCTTTTTTGAAATTATTGAATTTAATTTTTATTGCATAAACTTAAAATTGCTCTTTAAAGTGTTCTCTGCTAACAATCATTGAAAAAACCCACTCTGGAACTTTGAAAAATTTTAATATATATTAATATGTAATATTTTTGAATAGTTAATTGTTAGTAATGTAATCTTTATTTGTATAGAAAATAAATTTATTTTTTAAATTGGTATGTAAGGTGTTCTGTAATTCAAAATATTATGCATATTGTATTTGTATTTACCAGAGTGCTTCTATTTTATTATTATCAAATATCAAAAAGCATTAACATCCCCTTGTTGGCATATACCATCAAAAGACAAATTTTATCCCACAATGATTTGCTAACAGGATTCTAGCTTAGAAAATCTTTCTTTCAAATTCAGTTCTGTTTCTTTCAAATTTGAAATAATTTATATTGAATAATAAATTCAAGTCATTCATATACTGGCAAGTCCCAGCTATAATTTGAAACTGAAGGGAAAAAAACTTGGCTTAATGGATCAAGATGGACTTTTTATTGATAAGTAGTAAGTACTTGCACTAAGATAATTAACAGTAATATTAATTTTAAAAAAGGCAAGACTCACATACGCAGTACAGTTAAGGTGCCAAATGGAAATATCGGCGAATTTTTTAGATAGAAAATACATTCTTTACAAGGATGGGCATTTCTTTTTAGGACTTTACTATTATCGGACAAATTCAATGTGGTTGAAAACTACATGTTGAGGACGATTAGATTTCTTATTTAGACTTATCACGTGATGTGGCAGTCACGTGATTTTAGCAAATATGCCTGAAGTATTGAGGTCATCTATAAATTCTAATATTGCAAGGGCATAACCAAGTTAAAAATCTAAGTTTAACACATAATTATTTTCAACACTCTTTGTAGTTTGTGAAAAGTGCTGTGAACCTATATTTTACTATCTAATTGCTAAAATTACATTTGTTAGACCGTATGTTGAATATTTTGCTGGTCAAGTACATTAAATATAAATATAATTAATTCATTTGCAAGATTTCAACAGGTTCGCAGCACTTTTCAAATATCTTCATACTTTTGAGTTTATGTGTAAAAGCTTGTCATAATTCATTGAGGGTATGCCCTTGCAATATATCGATTTATTACGACTTATCTATTACCTTTCAATGAATACGACAGTATTGCTTGTCTAGGGAATATACAGGAAGTATATGAATAAAATCATAAAATTGACATCGCATCCAAGTTAATGGCCTCTTATATATCTATAATTTATATTTTATTTTATTATAAAATACATTTTTCATTGTATAAATATAACTTGATCCGCCTCTCACTGCATACAAATTGCGTCAAATTTTACGATATGACGTCACATTGACAAGTGCATTGCAATCAGTGAATTGTTTATATATTGCTGTGTGGGATGTAACCAATGACAATAATGCATGCACTAGTTAGTATTGATGTAGTTTAAAGCTATTCAACAGTTTAAAATAGCAAATCACTTCATTTTGTGGTAATTTGAAGAACTTATATTTTTGTGTGATGTCATAGACAGTAAGCATTTCCCGTATAAATTAGGCCCCGCCTCCTTACTGCAGCCTTAACTGTGCTGCGTAAGCATATTATAATAAAAGAAATTACTAATAGATTTGTTTTAGTAATTGACTATAGCAGAGTAGCAAGGGTATTTGATGTTTTAAACATTTTCTTTAATTACTGCATATAGGGTTATTTTCGCCCATTCACTTTTGCAAGCAATTTTGCCCCATTTTAAATTTGGCCAGTCACAATTCTGTTTAAGAAATTATAAATTATACCATATTCTTTGAATTTGCCCCGTTTTAAATTCACCCACCCCTGAGTAGGGCGAAAGGGGGAAAATAAAACGGGGGGCAAAAATTTCCCTGTATACAGTATTACAAAGAAAATATTTAAAACGTTAAGTAGCTGCAGGTCTGTAACTAACTGGTTTAGATTTTTTTTTCCTGACCAGTGATTAAGCTACAATGAGTTTTATGATCTGTAGCTAGTGGCAATTATGTTGAAAGTTTCCAAAAGAGGCAATATATTATATAAATTGACATATTTCCAATTCCTATGTATTGATATGTACTTAATAATGATTGATGATGGTCATTATAATGTTAATTTCAGTATAAATGTTACCTGGAACAATAAAATTATGTGCAATGTTAGGTCATAATTACATACCTGTCTACTCTCCTGATTTGCCAATAATTTATACGATTTTTGACAAAATTTTCTGCATATAAAAGATGAATCTTACATACAAATTGATAGGAAACTAAAGAAAACATCCAGTTTAAGGTAGCCAGGTCTTTCATGGTGTAAAAGGGAAGATTACTATTCTCTTTAGAAAAGTGGAAAAGATTTTGCCTACATCCACATCATGGATGTATTACATCCACATCATGGATGTAGGCAAAAATCTGTCCACTTCTCTAAAGAGAATAGGAGGATTACCCAGTACATATACATATTCTTCATTATATTGGGGCTATCATCTTAACCACAGTGCAAATAAAAGTGATTTGAAGGACCGTTATTATGGTGATAATAAGATGATAGTTTGTTGAAATGATAGGTAAAAGTACTATCAAGGGTGTTTGACCACAGTAACAGTGCAGGTCGAACTGAAAATAAATATTGTTTACTATGGAGATCCCAGATCTCTTCACTGTAAAAGACATAATGAAAGAGGCAAGCTGGAAAAGAATTGTCCGTCTCTCCAGAGAATGCTGAGTTTACAGAACACTGCATTTTATTGATAGATGGAACGGAAGTGCCTATCAGTCATTGGCTATAAAATTGTCTCTTTGCACTCCAACTGTGATGGAAACAATTGACAATCATAATGGAAAGCAATGATGGATCAACGCTTTCATTTTTCATTTGAAGAATAAAGATTTTTCAGTAAATAATGGTTATTGGAAGGGAATCAAATGACTAGCCTTTCATTTTGAAAGAGAGATTGTTTGAATTTGAACAGATTTGTTATTTTCAACCTATAATTTTTTTTTTATTGGAATATTTGATTCACGAATTTCAAGAAAACAAAAGATTCAGATCCTATAATCTCTCTAGGGATATAACACATTTTTGTTGTAGTTGCTGCCATTTAATATGTAGAATCTTTACATAGTACCCTAATGTTAAACTGAGAGCACATACTCCTATTTTGGATTACTGACATAAATTATAAACTCTTCCAAATCTGGTACCTGATTCTTGGTTCTTTATCCTGACATGGTCACAGATCAAGTAGTCCTGCATGGACATATAACTTTGATTAACTTAAATGCAACAGGAGATTATTGTTTGCTTAATTAATTATTAACCTTTAACTTTGACTAAATGTTTTCTGTGATGGAGATATTGATCTGTATAATTCTAAAGTTCTGATGTTTGATTGTGAAATTAGAATTAAAAGAAAAAAATAGTTGCAAGAATAGAGCACTTTCAATTTATTAACCTTTTTTGAGAAAGTATTTTCACCTAAATAATTTTCAGACTTTGATAGCATTTTGTGTTTAATTTCCATTTTTATGATGATTGTCCCAGCCAAAGAAGTAATTGAACTGGCTTTTTTTCCCTCAAGGAGTAGAATCATTTCCTTCCTCGGTACATGTACCATATGTGGTATACTAGACCTATTTTGGTTGCTTAAATGATGAATAATTTAGATCTCTTGACTTTTAAAAGAAGATATGCATGTACATCTTGCACTTGCTGATCTTAGTGGAAAATTCAGACGTTCCGTACAGAATACTTTTAGAATGTATAGGCAACAAACTGTGTTTTGGGTGCAGAATTTAAGCATCATTTAATGAAACTAAACAAATTAAATAAATAAATAAAAGCTTTCTTTAAATGTTGTAAGCATATAGAAAATATTTCTGTATCTTTAAGTCTGGAATAGACATTGAAGGTATTGATAGCCCATTATTTGCCTCTTGCTATAATTATATAAAGCTTTAGCTTTTCTGTAAATATATATTTATGACCTTACATCAAAAGCAATGTATCTACAGCCTTGATTCCTTGGAGTATTGGTATAAACCTCTGATTTGTGAGATGTTTATTAATTACAGTAATGAATCCAATCATCATTATAGTCACACAAACAGTGGAAATAAGAATCCATACATTACAGTGGTCCATATTCAACATTGAAATATAATTGTAGATCTTATTCATATACATATAACATTATGCTCAGCATTGATATCTTACAGTGTATAACAGACATATAAATTGGTTAACAAAATTCTGTCAGCAAATTTGATGCAAAAACATATCACAGATATATAAATTGGTTAACAAAATTCTGATGGCAAATTTGATGCAAAACAATCAACTTTTTGAATTTTTTCAAAGACATTTTCCATTACCAATTGATATGCAGTAATGTTTTATGTCAATTAAAAAAAAATGTTAAGATAATAAACTTCCTCTGAAGACTAATGGATTTATTCAGAATTGCAAAGTAAGGTTTACTTATTTTGAATTTATTTCAGTACCTGGTATATTGGTAACTTTTTTTGGAAAATTGAACATATGTGGAGATTTCCTATATAGATATGGTACCTATGAGACCAATTTGTAATTGTCAGATGCTGTACTTGTTTATTTGAATTTGAGAATTCAGGAAGAATAATCCTGAATTGCATGAATACTTGAACCAGAGGGTTCATCTGTTTTAAAGTACTTAACTGCTACACTGAGAAATTTTGTTTGTAAGTAAACAAAAGTTAAGCCCCCCCCCCCCCCCCCAAAAAAAAAAAAGATTAGATGGAGATGCATAATTTAGAATTGAGCAGAAATTTGCACTTTGCTTTTGAACAGAATGTACCTATTATAAAAAGAGATCAAGACAGAGTTGTCAACTTCAATGTGTTTGGAATCTTGCAAATTGATATTCATCAAGAATATTGCAAAGAAAGAATTCTGTTATAGCTGCATTATCCAACAACTGACACTGCCTTTTTAACCCAAATACTGACTTAATTTAATACAACATCTGGTAATATGATTTAATTACATGTAATAAATTCCCTCAGAATAGACAGTTCAATTTGATACATCAAAGTATATTATCACACAACTGATATTATTAAGTTACTAAACAATATCATCCACCGGAATGGCTACCTATTTCATCTGATTTTCTTTTTTGCACTTCGTAGTGTCTCGGGAAAATGCCAGTCTGGTGTCTGGGGGAAATGCAGTGGTGATTGTATGATAACACATTGTATAACTAACTCTAATTGCTGCATATATGTGCTTATTCTGAATAAAATCTCAATTTTCTGGATATCATGTTAATTCTGGTTTAAAAATAACAAATTTGGATAAAACAAAAATGATGCTGAGAACAAAGTGTTTGTTCGATCTTCAAAAAAGTGACATTATTTGCTAATTCATTGACACTTATGATACATTATTGGTTAATTTTTTTTTCCGAAACATTTCTTGGTAAACTATGTTCCTATAAATCTATATTGCTGTAAAACAATTCAAAGTTTATATAGCATTAATTTGTAATAAATCTGACTGTGATTCAGGACCTCCAGCACTTAGGTTACAATTTGCCTTTATTTATTGTAATTACAGACAAAATTAGATCCTAATCATTTAAACTCCAATTTTTATTATTTATTCAGCCAAAATAGAAGCAAAGGATTCAAATGTTTTATTTTTCGAATTTCATTCTCATTTCTCCTTGAAAGTTTTAATTGAAGCAAAATATTTATTAGCTTTATAAAGATTCTGAATGTGTTCACAAAACACCATGCTTGATATCATTGACTTTTAATTTTGACATATAATGTGATGGCTGGGATAGGGAGGAGGTGATTGAACTCCAATGACTTTCAATTAGCCTGAAACCCAAGAGATATATCCAGTACTAAACCATGTGAAATTTTCCCACAGAAATATTTTACCCCATTATCCATGCATTCTGAGAGTGCACTGCACACTAAAAATCCACTTCCTTGCCTATAATCGTGCTGATTCTGAAACACCTATTTTATGACAGTTCAGCCTTAAGTTTCATGAATCTGATGGGGCTTGTGGCTTCTGCTGTTTTGTAAATCCTTAGAGAATTAGATGTGTTTTGAAGCAAGTAACTTGAAAGCATCCTGGGATCAGCCATGCTTTGGTTTTCTTCTTTCTTGTTCAGTAGCCAGACAGATTGGGAATCACACACTCTGTTTCGCAGGGAGTGATTCTTATAATTACCTGATGTGCCTTAATCAAAAAACATTTTTTTTTTTGCCTGCTGAAGATTTCTTACACTGACAAGGAACAATACTGATCTCTTATAGGACATCTTATAAGGAAAACACAAATCTTTCCCTACTAATTTTATTCAGGAATTATATTTAATGATTTTTAAAAAGATCATCTATAAGTGTCCAATTTTAGTACTTGAAGTTATATAATACAAGTACTTAATTTTACAACATTTGATAATTTTATCAATTTCACCTGACTGCATGAATGAAAATAATACCAAAAATATAATTATCATTTACAGCTACTGTAGATCAAAAAAATATTAAAGGATATATTTTTTTTTCATGTAATGGACAAAATGAAAATAACGTTAAATTTTTTTTAATAGTGTTGTGCATGAAGTAGATTTTGTTGCATAAACTGAAATATTTTTCAGCTCTCTTTTGTTCAATAAATTTAAGGTGAGGACACTTCCCGTAATTTGGACAATAATCCCTTGGCAAGCAATGATGAACTGGAATCTCCTTACTCACAGCAGATGGAGCTGTATGCAGTAAGTACCGGTGTAGCATAATATATTGATACCGCGATATGTTGAATCTGGGTTCAATATATCGCATATTTTGAACCTGGGTTCAATATTTTATGGGGGGTTCAATATTTTGCAACGATATTTTGAACCAGGGTTCAAAATATTGTGGGGTTCAATATATTATATGACACTGGTATCCAACTTGTTTAATTGTTTGGACTCGAGCATATATAATACATTTATGGCTCGTACTGTATATTTTACATCAGAGCAAGCATTAACATAGGACAGTCTGGAAAATTTTAGAGTTTGATTGGTCCTCACAGCATTTTCTATGATGAGTTATCTTTCTATTTGTCAGCATTATCCCAAAAAAGTCGAACTATAAGTGTGAAAAATATGTAAATAGTTGGTACTTCAATCTATTTACATATATGTGACTCACTTAATCAAGAAATTATTTTTCACATAATATATGCTATTTTTGCCCAAATAACCTTAAAAATGTTAACAGACATTAATTAAATTAGCCGATTGATAATGAAAGGAAAAAAAAATTCAGTTTTCAATTATTTGTTATTTCTCAAAACTTGTGATAGTAATTGCAAATAGTTATATTATATTTTTGATCATAAATAATAGAATATTCAAGTAATTTATCCATTTATTTGCCAATTTATATCAACTTGCATCTAGAGTTTGACTGTTTAATGGGTATAATATCAACAATTATTAGATTATTTTATGGCATAGTCATTATTTTTTAAAATATGTTAAGTACTTTATACAATCAAATCACAAAAATTTAGAAATGCCTGGGTAAAATTGATGTATTATATCAGCAAATTTGATTTGTGGGAATTCTTAAAAGACTTGTATCTTGTAGGATGATCTGCATGAAAGAGGAAAAATCTCTCAAATTCTCAACCGCATTGCCAATTACCAAGGTGGTGTGGAACCCAATATCAGTGAAAATTACAAGTCCAGACCAAAGACGGTATGTGGATCTGTAAATAATAGATGTTGCAAGGAAGTATTTTGGGGCATCATTAAATTGGAGGCCCTCAGAAATGAAACATGAAGATGAACAAATGGAATTGTAAAGTAGCACCCTTACAGAGTCATGTTTTTTTTTTTATCTGGAAGTGCTGATGGTATTGGCTACCAACTTTTCAATATTTAAAGACAAATTTTGTCTTAGATAAGAAATTTTCTTATTGATTTTATTTATTTATAACCCCTAGCTATTCTTTTTTTTTTGAAATGCCTGAATCAGCAAATTGCTCATGAAATTTATTCCAATTCAGCTGCATTTTGATGCAACCTTAATTGAACCTTCTAGCTATACAGCTATAGATTGTAAAGGGGGGAAAACACAGTCATAAATTTATTTAAAAAAAAAAAACTTTCCCATTTGGTAAAATTTTAGTATGATGTGTGATCTCTATTCCATTTGGAGGCATTCAGGGAGTTATAAAACAAGTGGTTGATAGATTTACTGTCTGGATCTGGTATTGAATCCTGATTTTTCTCTTACGGCTCAAATTGATTTTGCCAGATTATTTATTCATGTGTTGAGAAAGCTAGAAATTTAAGGGGGTCTACCACAACATACAGAATTTTTTTTTCGGTTTCCACTTTGTCAGGTCAATAAATTTTTGAACTGCATTTTGGTAGTATTTTAACTAAGTTCATTCAAAGAAAAGTAGTGTTACTTAGAAATGAAGTTTTGTATACATTTTGGTCACTGGAATGACCAGTTTTAAACAATCTTTGTTTTTTTAGGGTGATGAACAGGTAGTCAGATGTTGTTTTTAATTAGCACCCATGTTTTGAGCATGAAAATTTCCATAATTTTTTAAGTCTCCATCTGAACCCATTTTCAGAAACTTCTGATCAACATCCTTGCTGTTGTCTTTTGGCTCAGTCTAAAACTTAACATGTTGTCAAAATTAATATAGCATCACTTTATATTGTTGAATCAGGTTTTTCTTTGCATGACAATTTAAAGCTAAATTTTTTACCCCGAACTGAATAATGAGAGAAGATCCCTTTAGGTTATCTTCAAAATAGCATTTAAATAGTTGTTGCTCCATGCTGCTATAGTTCCGTAATTTAAAGGTATTGTGAAAATTTTTAAGTCTTGCAGATCATTTATATAATAATGAAGGTAGATCTGTTTAAGAATCAAGGTATATATGAAGATGTAATGGTTTGGGCGATGGATATTGGCCTGGGTAGCTCATTAGGTACTGACTAGTGATGCAGGGGTCCTGGGTTCGATTTCCTTTCTAGTCAAACATTTTCTCCTTTTCTGTCACCAGGGTTGTCCCGAAGACCCGGGGGCCAGGGAATTTCCCCTCCTATAATGATGTAATCCTCCGGTTATTTTGGTATTCCTCCTAAACTCCTCATTAGGGGAGGAACTCCAGATCCCCTTCTATTTTTTAAATGTCCCCTTCTATTTCAATTCTTAGGGATAACCCTGGTCACAAAGTGTTGGGTGAGTGATTTGTTATAAGACTAAAATACAGAAAAATCTGATTTTACGCCAGCTGAATAAAAGAAAACTTGACTTACCATGATCATGCTTTGGCTTTCTTAAATACATATTTGAGAAATTTTAATTTTTTGACCAACTTTTGATTGTTTGCTATGATGCTTAAAGTTTACTGGCTAGAATGAGATTGATGCATGTTAATCAAATGTCAGCATTTTTTAACTACAGGGTATAATGGGCATTAGTTTTGATGAATATTTCCAACTCGCTACTGGCCACTCAAATTCTTATTTGTGAAATCAAAGGCATGCATTTATTGCTCGATACAACAATTTTGCTTTAGTTAATGGACACATCATGGTTTTTCTTCTTCTTTTTTTTTTGTTTCTTTACGACATTTTCACAATTTATATTTGAAGATGATAAATTGGAAGTATAACTTGAAAACAACTGTGGGCTGGTAGTTTTCTTCAAGTCCTGCAGTAATATTTGAGTAAAGATATAATTGACTAGCTGATTCAAAATAAATCTATAAATCTTGACCAAAATTTCTTCTTGTGTAACTAGCTAACATTAATGCATAACAAAGATGCATTTGAAAAAAAAACTTTTTTACATTTCCAGTAGTAAAGTCTTGTAATTTACCTGTTGAATAAGTAAACATTTATGTTTTCAAAGACATGCTTTTTTTTAAAGTGAAAATAACATTTGTTTCAAGACTCTCCATCCATAGATAATGGAAGTGAATTATAACCATCCTTACACTGACTAAAACTGCCAAAATTGCACCAATTTTTTGTTAAAATCTATGTTTACAATTTTCAATCTCCCAGTCATTTAGCTATGACATCTCACAACTGCTCAGCTATGACATTATAGCATATGCCACTGCATTACGAAAAGACAGCTATTATAGGTGATAAGTGCAAAAGAAAAAAAAAAAAACAAAGTAATAAACGGAAAATTCCATGTTTTGTAGTTATATATGGAGTTTATTTCACTCATGATACAGGATATTTTGGTATTTTAACTCTCGCTTCACACTTATGAAAATATCAAAACATCCTGTCCAACGTCTCTTGAAATAAATTCCATATCCAACTAAAAAACAATGGATATCGTTTATGCCTCTATGTACATTTATTTAACAATAAAAATTGTCCTAAATACAAACAATTTATACCACATCAATGTAACTTGTGGAAGACTCAAAATATAGGGTAAAGAAAGTTTAGAACTCCTATAATATTTCACCTAATTTTACTTTTGAAGTGGTTAGAAAATAGCGCAAAGGAAACAACTTTCTAGAACAAAATAAAGATGTTCAGTTGTGATTATCTAGTAAAATGATTCCATGTTTTATTGTAGATGATTAAGTATGATTCCATATTTTATGTTCTGTAGGTAAAGCTGGGAACTCTATTAGGGGTATACCTCCCCACTATACAAAACATTTTTGGAGTGCTGCTGTTTATTCGTATGACATGGATTGTAGGGATGGCTGGAGCATTAGAGAGTCTGGGAATAGTCATTATTTGTTGTTTTACAGTGAGTATTCACACATGATTAGAAAAAAATTCTTATGAAATATTTTTGAATCGTGTAATCATGCGAATTAATTATCTTTATTTTTTTTATCTTACCTTGGCCATGCAAAATTTGATAAACTTTGCCTCAGATGGGGACATATAAGACCAAATAAACTTTTGGAAAATACGTTTATCTCTGAGGGTAAATTTCGCAATACTTATGTATTTTTTTTTTTGTAATTTGCATTTAGATTTGTTAATGCACTTGATGTTTGAGTCAGTTAAACAAGCATTAACAAGCGTGTAAGCTTTTTATTGACGTCACAATGGAATGATGCAAAAACAGATTAAGCATTTAAAGTTTCGTGATGTATTTCTTAAATCAAAAAAAGCAAAACCCATCAAATAAGATGTATACATCAAATAAAATGCATTAAATTCTTTAGAATGGGAATAACTATTTTCTCATTTGTTATTTGCAACTTAATGCTGATTCAATGTTTGCAAACATCCATTTTACGGGCTCTACTGATGCATTGCCGGTAAAACTCAGTTTGCGACCAATAAATCAGCATTACCAGTAATTGTTGCAAATAACAAACGAGAAGACAGTTATGCCCTAAGTATAGACATTTTTTCTGCTTTGTTATATTTTTCACAGGACCTAAGCACCAGCAATTTATAAATAAATACTATTAAACCCCAGATTATTCAGTCGTTTCTTTTTGAGAGGAATCCACATGACATTCATGTTTTGGATTTCATGATTTATTGTTAACGACAAATAATTTGAACTTAAATTAAGGTAAAAAAAATCATAAAGAGTGGTACTTCCTTTTCCAGACTTTTCTGACTGCCATATCTATGAGTGCCATAGCAACCAATGGTGTTGTACCAGCAGGTGGGTCGTACTTCATGATTTCTCGTGCCCTGGGGCCAGAGTTTGGGGGAGCTGTAGGGGTGCTATTCTATCTTGGAACCTCAGTGGCATCTTCCATGTATATTATAGGAGCCGTGGAAATTCTAGTGGTAGGCAAACTTTTTATAGAAACTCTGGGTTTTTTTTTTTAAATTTGTACATTTATTTCACTTAAAAGTTGTATTACAACATACATGCTTTAAACAAATATTTTTTTGCAAGTGACAAATATTTGCAAGCTTTGCAATCTTCTTTTACACAGAAATAAATTCTAGCCACAAGCCATTCATTTCTATGTTTCTTCATCTGCAAAAATTAAATGCTCACAGAGATGGATTTAAAACTTAAAAATCATGAATAAAAGTTGTTGCTCACAATAATTGGATTACAGTTATTTGTGAGTTTCGATTCACATTGTCAAAAAGGCAACAAATCTTTTCACAAAAAATATTTCTGTAAAGAAATTTTAGTTTTAAAGTTAGAGAATAGCTAGTCTGGTTTGCAGAAGATTAAACAAATGGTATTCTTTCTTTCAGAAATTTATTGCACCTGTCTTGTCAATTTTTGGAGATGTAACCATAGAGGCCAATGCTTTCAATGCCTACAGAATATATGGCACTGTGATACTTCTTATCCTAGCTCTTATCGTTTTTGTTGGGGTGCGATTTGTCAGCAAGTTTGCAGCCCTTTCACTTGCTTGTGTCATTCTGTCCATTCTATGTATATACATTGGTATATTTGCTGCCACAAAGGATGATAATGTTCGGTAAGTGAATGACATTATCAGGGAATCTATTTCACAGTGAAATGAAAAAGTTTGTTCCAAGTTTCAAGCAAACAAATTTGAAATTCACACTGACAGGAAAACAGTTAGCAAGAAGTTTCCTGAAAACAATTTTGAAATTTACAAGCTGAAATCTTATATGAAACATACATCAAGTTTCCTGCAAGCAGATCTGAAATTTTCTTTGCGAGCTAAAGATTTCTGATGTGGTCCACTCCATTGACCTATTGTGTCATTTATATGTTGGGATAATTGATGTCACATGATCTGAAATCCAATCTCTATACCCATAGGTTGCATCGTTGACAAAAATAAAGTGTTTTAAAATTCAACAAATAAGGATCAAACGATGATAAATTGACAGGGTGCATATCTTTATAACTGCAATGTAGACACCAAATCACATTTTTATGCCCCGCCATAAATATGGCCGGGGCATATAGTGTTTGTCATGTCCGTCCTTCCGTCCTTCTGTCCTTCCGTCACACTTTGCGTTTAGCTCTGTTCAAAGCTCAGTTTCAAAGAAATTATCCAAGATATTTTTATCAAACTTCATATGTTGATACATAGTGATGAGAGCTTTTCAACTGCATCAACATTTTTTGACCTTGACCTTTCTTTTGACCTTGACCTCATTTTCTTAAATTAGTGTTTAGCTCAGTTTTAAAGATACCATTCAAGATAGTGTAATCAAACTTCATATGTTGATACATACTGATGTAAGCTATTCAACTGCATCAACATTTTTTGACCTTGACGTTGACCTCACTTTTCTTAAATTAGTGTTTAGCTCATTTTTAAAGATACCATTCAAGATAGTGTAATCAAACTTCATATTCTGATACGAACTGATGAGAGCTATTCAACTGCATCAACATTTTTTGACCTTGACCTTTCCTTTCACCTTGACCTCACTTTTCTTAAATTAGTGTCACACTTCATATGTTTATACATACTGAGGAGAGCTATTCCACTGCATCACTATTTTTTGACCTTGACCTTTCCTTTGACCTTGATCTCACTTTTCTTAAATTAGTGTTTAGCTCAGTTTTAAAGAAACCATTCATAATATTTTCATCAAACTTCATATGCTAATACATACTGATGTAACCTTTTCAATCTGCATCAACAATTTTTGACCTGGACCTTTCTTTTGACCTTGACCTCACTTTTCTTAAATTAGTGTCAAACTTCATATGCTGATACATACTGATGTAAGCTATTCAACTGCATCAATTTTTTTCACCTTGACCTTTCCTTTGACCTTGACCTCACTTTTCTCAATTTGTGTTAAAATGTTTCATTACTAATATACCCTCGGCGGGGCATTCATGTCCTATGGACATATTTCTAGTATTAAAAAAGTTATGCAACCATAACCACTTTAGTCTTAAAAATTTGTTCATTATTAAAATACAGTAGATTGAAGTACTTTTTAGATTTTCCAGATTATGTAGTTAATTTTAGCTATATTTTAAACAAATTACCGGTAGCATGGATGATGTATCTAGGGCTGGACACTTCCAGACTTGCTTTGGATTCTAAATCTGTCCTACATTTTCCAGATGAGTGACCAGGGTAATGTTTTTGGCATAGATGGTGCATCTAAGGATGAAAACTTCCAGATTTGCTTTGGATGTTGGAACTGTCAAAATTTTCTTGATTATTAAACAGGGTAAAAGTTTTTGGAGCAAATCTATTTTCAAGTAAATAAAAGTTCTACTTACACCAAACTTGCATGGATATTGATTTTGGGATGTACACTAACTAGAAAAAAAAATAATTTTAGATTTGCCTTACGTATAGATAACATTTGTCAAGGTGAACTTCGTAATCTTTGATTACCAATGTTTTCTGCATGGTGTTAATTTAGGGTATGGCTATGTATGCAGTCACCAATTTTTTGTGAAAATTTGCTGCAGCATACATTCTTAAAGTACATCAAAGGCAAATAGTGGCAATGAAAGGAATCTGCAAAATTATGAACCCCTGAAAAAAGTTCATTTATAGTATTTGAAGGTTCTGCCAACAACTTTTTCAGACTATGGGCCCTTGTTGGCCCCTGCTTTAGGTGTCTCTTAAGATGATGCAATAGTTTATATTAAACACCTATTGTCATTCCTGTTTCTTACTCAAAAGTCTAAGGAAGGTCACTAATTTTGCCCATTTCTGAATTTTTTCATCTTCAATTGAATTTTCATCAATCTTAAAGTACATTTTGTTTCAGAGAAAAAGAGTGCCTATCTACTGAATATATATTTATCATGCTTTTGTATCAGATGCATCTTGTGTATGAAAACCTCAGATAAGCTAGCTTTGCTCAAAATGAAAGTATCTCAAATTTGACAAAATTGCATCAAAATTGAGGAAATTTAAGAAAGTGTTATATTTTATCACCCTCTCGTTGCCTCTATGTTGGCTTTAAATCAACATTCAATGCTTTTTTTTTTCAAACAAGAATCATTTAAGATTCTTAATTACAAACTATAGAAATTTTGACACTTTTGATTGTTAAGTTAAATGAGGCCAAATGTGGCTGTTACTGTAGCTTTTCCTTTATGCCTGTTTTGACAACTCAAGAAAATTACTGGTTTCATTTATGAGAAAGAAGTTTGGCTCTTAATAGTATATTATCCTGATATTATCTCTACTACTATGCATTTCCATCTTCTAGGATATGTTACCTTGGAGATAGGCTGTTAACAAGTGACGTGGCGGAGACAAACGGAAGGTTTACATGTAGTAAGGACAACTATACAACACTGTATGCTAAACATTGCTTCAATGAGACGTGTGATGACTTCTTCAATGAACATGAAACTAGAGTGGTGGATGGAATTCCAGGGCTGGCCAGTGGTGTATTTCATGGTAAGCTGGTTTCATTCCCCAAAGATGGAGGAGAGAAACATTGTGTTTTTGACCTCTTTACATGTAGAACATGTATTTAATATTTATCAGTCTGTGATTATCTGTAAATATTTGTTTATTAATAAAACAAATATTAGAAAGTTTAATTTTGTAAATTTAAAAATGTTTGTTAGTTGTATATTTTGAGCACTTTGTACCAAATAAGTAAGTAAGCTTGCAGTTCAAATTTATTTTGGTTTTAAGGTTCCTTTCAAAATTTAATGCAGAATACATAAGATTTCAATGATGGTGTTCTTTTGTACAGCCAATCTACACAACCGTTACACAGAAGAGGGTAAAATTATTGGCACTGACATGAAAGGTAACCGAGCCTATGGAGAAATCATTGCTGACATCACTTCCTCTTTTATGGTTTTGTTGGCTATTTATTTCCCATCAGTAACAGGTACATAAAATTCATTTTGATATTGATTTCAGTTTTTGTCACTGTGCATTTTTCACATGCTCAATCCAGTATTGTTCTCTAGCTGAATACTGAGTTAACATACTTAAATATTAAAATCTTTACTTTGAATGGTCTTCTGAATGAGATTTAACTTGTATATCAGTAAAAGAAATCATGTATGTTGTAAATGTACTTCCTTTTTTGTGTAAGATTGTTTCTGTACAAGCTGCAAAATGTTGTTGACATACAAATTACATTCATCATTACAACTTTGTTGTGCCTGTTACAGGTATAATGGCTGGTTCCAACAGGTCAGGAGATCTGGCAGATGCCTCCAAATCAATCCCAGCAGGAACCATTGCTGCTATTAGCACCACTTCTTTTGTTTGTGTCCTTTTCTGGAATTGACTCAGTTTGTGTTAAACTTGCAGAGTAGATATTTTTTGTATTGAGGGGTTATCTATGGGCATTGTAAATTGGCCCAATCCAGTCAGATTTTTCTGAATTAATATTGTTTAAATTAATGAAGAATAGGTAAAGAGGAACTCTTTTTGTCTCATTTGAATGAGATCATTTCTTGTACATCGTCGCAAGCACGGGTTTTGTGTCCATTCTATTTCCACAAAAATTCTCGAAATAGAATGGACACAAAACCTGTGGCTTGCGATGTTTCTTGTATAGACCTTGAACAACTTTTAGCAGAATAATGAAAAAAGCTTTTGTTTTTTAAACATGTATGTCAATTTGTAAATGTAGTAAATGTAAATTGAATAGGTTACTTCAAAACAAATTTTCGTAGAATTGCTGCATGTAAAACTGATGTGAAATTTCCTTAATGCACATTAGATTTTAGTTGCGTACTCTTCTTTGCTGGCACCATTGAAGGGGATTTGCTAAGAGATAAGTAAGTATCAATTAAATATCTGGTTATAGAGCTGACCAATCTGCATTAACCAGTCATGTGACTTTTGATGCTGTTTTCAGGACCCTTGACCTTTCTTTAATCTTTTGGCAGATTTGGAGAGAGTATAAATGGTGGTTTGGTTGTGGCGAAGTTGGCGTGGCCCACTGAGTGGGTGATTCTGATTGGGTCATTTTTGTCTACCCTGGGAGCTGGACTTCAAAGTCTCACAGGTAAAAAAAAAAAGCTGAAATCAAAACAATGAAAACAGTACATATTACATTTTATGAGTAAACCATAAACCATTGAGAGATGGATGCTGTAATGCTGTCATTTTTAGCTCACCTGAGCCAAAGGCTCAAGTGAGCTTTTCTGATCAAAATTTGTCCGTTGTCTGTCGTCGTTGGCGGCGGCGTCGTTGTCGTTAACTTTTCACATTTTCATCTTCTTCTCCAGAACCACTGGGCCAATTTCAATCAAACTTGGCACAAAGTATCCTTGGGTAAAGGGGATTCAAGTTTGTTCAAATGAAGGGCCACTCCCTCCTCAAAGGGGAGATAATTACGAAATAAAAAAAAATTAATGGCATTATTGAACAATCTTCTTCTCAAGAACCAATGGGCCAGGAAAGATGAAACTCATATGGAATTATTGTCAGGTAGTGTAGATTCAAGTTTGTTCAAATCATGACCCCCAGGGTAAGGGTGGGGCCACAATGGATGATCAAAGTTTAACATTGGTGTACATAGGAAAAATCTTCAAAAAATCTTCTTCTCAAGAACAGCAAAGCTTTGATTGGATATATTTTTTTGAAAGCATCTTCAGGTAGTGTAGATTCAAGTTTGTTCAAATCATGACCCCCGGGGTTAGGGTGGGGCCACAATGAACTTTCAAAGTTTTATATAGGAATATATAAGAAAAACCTTTAAAAATCTCAAGAACAGCAAAGCCACAGTTTGTAATATTTATATGGAAGCATCCTCAGATAGTATAGATTCAAATTTGTTCAAATCATGACCTGCAGAGGTAGGGTGGGGCCACAGTGAAAGTTCAAACTTGTAGAGAAAAAAGTCACAGTTAGTCAAAAAATTATGTAAGCAGTCTAGATTTAATTTTGTTCAAGTCATACCCCCCCCCCCCACTCCCTTTTAGGGGTAGTTTGGGACCATTTATGCATTTAAGCTTTTCAATACTAAACTGATTTTTCCTTTTTTCCTGGCCACAGTGCTCAGGTGAGCGATGTGGCCCCTGGGCCTCTTGTTTAAACTTGCACTATTTTATACAAAGGCAAGATATCTTAAAGAAAAGCTAGATATTAAAAGTTTTATTTTTAATGAAAAAAAGAACATTAAAATTTATTTGCATTGGAATATACAGATGTGACACTGATGTTTTTATAGGAGCACCTCGTTTGTTACAAGCCATCGCTAGTGATGGAGTTATCCCTTTCCTGAATGTGTTTGGGGTAACCACTAAGAGAGGGGAGCCTTTCCGGGCTCTTCTATTAACCGCCCTCATATCAGAGCTGGGAATCCTTGTGGCCAACCTTGACATGGTAGCACCCATCATCACCATGTAAGATTCCAAACTCCGGGACAATTTCAGATTTTTCTATGCAATTAAATTTTTGTTTTACATTTCATTTATCTTTTTTTGGGGGGGAGGACTTAACTGTTGTTTGACATGGCAGAAATAATTTTAAAAATTGTTAGAGTAGGTAATAGATTTGTCAATTTTCTCAGTATTTCGTTTTGTTCAGTGCTTCTTTAATTCATGCTTTATTAGATAGCTTACATTTTTTTCACCGTAGGTTCTTCCTGATGTGTTATGGATTCGTCAACATGGCGTGTGCTCTACAGACATTACTGAGAACTCCCAGCTGGAGGCCCCGATTCAAGTTCTACCACTGGTAAACTCATTTTATTTGTACCCAAATAAATTCTTTTTTAAAACAAGTCCAATCAACTGTGTTTCAAACTATCAATAAGATTTACTACCTCCTACAATGCATCATGACGTCAGCTCATTTGCTTTTTATCATAGAAAAACTATGCATTGTGATGTCACGTTTTTTACCCCCGGCTCAAGTCGGGTGTACAGAAATTTACACCCGACTTTGTAACCAGGCAAAGCTCATGTTACAAGCTACATAGGAAATAATTGTTAATATTATATGCTCCAAAATTCAAAGATAGAGGACATGTTATTTTGGCATGTGTAATCATCTGTCTATTTTTACCCCTGACCATAACTGATGAACTGCACAGTTTGTCAAGGTCATGCAAAAGATCAAAGGTTAACTATGAATTTACTACTCTTAGGAGCATTGTGTCATGAAGACATCATGTATCAGAAATTGCTGAAAGTTGACAAATACAAAGAGTTTTACCTGAAGTATCTGTATCTTTATTTTGTAAAAGTCAAGTCAAAAAATGAATTTAATAGCAAATTCCTTTAGATTGTGTGTTTGTGTGTTGCAGGATTCTCTCCCTCATTGGACTGGCACTATGTGTGACTCTGATGTTCATATCCAGTTGGTACTATGCCCTGGTAGCCATTGGTATTGCTGTCTGTATATACAAATACATTGAATACAAAGGGTAAGCTACAGATCTGTAGGAGGCACAAACTAATTTCTCAGATTTTTTTAAAAAATTTTTAAGATAGTCAAATATAATAAAATGTTCCTGAGAAAAAAAAATTGTACAGTTCTACAGAATCTTGGTATCTTGAACATTGATATCTTGAATACCATAGATTTTGAGGTCCCATCCACTATTTCCTCATGTATTTTTACCTCAGTATCTTGAATTCTTAAATCAATGGTTGAATTAAATCAGTGAACTTGAATAGTAAATCTATACCTGGTATTGTAGCGCTGAGAAGGAGTGGGGAGACGGAATTCGGGGTTTGGCTATGTCTGCTGCTCGATACTCCTTACTGCGGGTACAACAAGGAATTCCCCATACCAAGAACTGGAGGTACGGTGTCTAACAAAGGAAAATAAATTACCTGTATGTCATTTCTGTTAAATGGAGCCATTCCAAGGAAGTTTAACTTATTGTCTGATTTTGTAGAGATTCAGAACTTTGAGGTAAAACATGCTTTAACCCCCACAAACATTGTACCAGATTTCAACACTTTAACCCCAAAATATGATGTGGAATAATAATTCAATGCTGTATTTTTTGGGCTATTAAAAGTGGCAAATTTTTTGCTATTACAACATTTATCTGTTTTTCCATATATCTTAACCTTAACTGTGTTTTGGTTTTTCATTAATATGGTGTGAAGGTTTTTCAAAATACTGCACATTTCAGAAAAATCAATAGCATTTGATTTTTTTTTTTATAATCTTCCACTTCTCTGTGTGTGTGGCCCACATTTTCAAAACTAGAAAATAACTCTCAGTTTCCTAAACAATAACCAAAAAATGCACTTCAAAAACAAATGGAAATAGTGCTATATTAAGTGTTTTATTTATTTTTTAAAAAAAAAAGACCACAGCTGCTGGTGTTAATGAAGTTGGAAGATGACTTGAGCCCCAAGTACCCACAGATGGCGGCCTTTGCTAGTCAGCTCAAAGCAGGTAAATATGTCATCCAGAGACTCTTCTGCTTAAATTGATGCTGCAAAAGAGTAAACAACTGGTCATATCTAAGGAAACTTTGAAGCAGCTTGTTTTTCTGCTAATGGGCTGAATGGTATATGTACATGCTTCATATATTTTAAACTGATAAATCTGAAAAATCTGAGATACTGTTTAAAAGAAAATATAAGGGAGGTTTTATCCACTCACTTTTAATAGTCAAACACTGATTAGAGAGAGAGCTACCAACAAAAAATTTTTGTGTGTGTGTTACAGGGAAAGGTTTGACTCTGGTGAATTCTGTGATTGAGGGGAAATACATGGAGCGATATGACGATGCCCAGGTTGCCAAACAGGTTAGGCTAGATTTGTGTATTCTAGTAGAGAAATGAACTCCTCTTCAGTTGATTTTTATATGCATGAACATTTTGATTGTAGAAATTAAGCAGGACCATTGAGCAATTTGGAGTCAAGGGATTTTCAGATGTGTTAGTGAGTGAGAGTGTTTCTGTTGGAATGTGCCATATGTAAGTATCCAATGATCTTATCATTCATATGTTAAGGTTCATAAACCCTCTGCTCAATCATATAAAATGTTTCTTAAACTCTTATGATTTTCCAAAAGAAATGTATTTTTTAAGTAAAATACAAACAATTATAGCATAGCTTGCAGGGCAAAATTGGACAAAAAAGACACTTCAACTTGACAAGATTATAAAATAATAGACATTTATATCATGAAGAGTTATCTCTCTTATCAGAGTATCGATGAACCTTGAATCTAAAACAATTCTGGCCATTTTTGTTATGCAAATTTTATTTCATAGTTTATTGATACTTTAAAAGAATGATTCACACTTGCAAAGCTGAAACCAAGGACACACTTTGGAGAAAAGTTAAAATAAACTTTAGAATAGGTAGTTTGACAATTTTCCATATGATGTTAGTGTTTTCACCATAGTGTTGTTGCTTTATTGTGAACAGGAGAGTTACTTTAAAACATTTCAGGATTCAGAATGCTGGTTTGGGAGGTTTGCGACACAACACTGTGATGATTGGTTGGCCATACGGATGGAGACACGACCATAATGAGAGGAGCTATAAAGTCTTTCTGGGTCAGTATTGAGAAGAGTTATTTCCCTTCTTTTCTGAGGAACTTTTAAAGATACAAAGTTGTAGGTGCTGAATCACTCATGAAATGATGAAGCTTGGAGGTAAACTTACAATTGGAATCATTAATACTGTGTACAGTAAAAATCTTTTAGTACGAACACTGATATAGCGAATTTACGAATATAGTGAAGTATTTTTTTTTGCAATCTCTGGTGAAATTCATAACAATTCCTTGTAAAATTACCTAGTGCTTGTAGGAAACTGGAAAAATACTTTGAAGAGGTAATATTTGAGAGAGAAACCAGTTGTCAAGATCCTGCAATCCTAAAATATAGCATACATGAAACTTATTGTAGATGTGATATTTGAATGCAGATGATACGATAAAAGATTTAACCAAACTTTTTCTTGTGTGTTGATAGATGCTGTGAAGAATATAAATGCAGGACAAATGGCATTGCTGGCTGTAAAGGGAATCAATTTGTTTCCATCATCCAATGAAAAACTCAAAGGAACCATTGATGTTTGGTGGATTGTGCATATCCTTAATAAAATATAAAATATAAAATAAAGCAGCATTTCCAATATTGATTGTAAATTTTTTTGACACCAGATTTGTTATGTAACTTATTTCCTTAACCCTTGTCACATGATGGAGGGATGCTGATGCTGTTGCCCTTCCTGCTGAAGCAACACAAGACCTGGAAACATTGTAAACTCAGGGTCTTCACTGTGGCCCGTATCCTTTGTTTCTTATAAGCACAGAGTTGTCTAACTTTACAAGAAAAATTGGATTTCAGTATTTACTATGTTAAATGATGAATTCTTTTCTTTTCTGTTGATAATTTTTTTTAGAATGGGGAGGGGAGGAGGTAGAGTTTGAGTGTTCAGATGATAATTATTATTCAAGTTCTGTACTTCGTTGCCTTCAAAAACATTTAAAGATGTCTTTCCTCAGAAACACATATAGATGTACTAGAATTCAAGGGGGAAAAAGATATTATTTCTTGTTTTGGTCTAGCAATAACTACTGCTCCTTAACTGTTGTAAGAACTTGAGGATAACACTATTCAAATGAAGAAGGATTTAGAATTGTTTATGTATCAGCTTCGAATAGATGCAGAGGTCCATGTGCTAGAAATGGTGAGTTTATAAAATCTGAAGATATAAACTAAATCTATATTGTATCTTTGATTAAATTAAAGATATGAAAATTAAATTGTTAGTTGTATAACTGTCATTGTTTTGTTTTTTTTTCACAGAGTAACAGTGATATTTCTGCTTACACCTATGAAAGAACACTAATGATGGAACAAAGAACAGAAATGTTGAAACAGATGAAAGGAAACAAAAAAGAGGTATCAGCACATACAGTTGAACTTCGGTATCTCAAACACTGATATCTCGAATACCATGGGTATGTCGAAGTGATTTGGAAGTCCCAACCACTTATTCTTTATGTATTTTACCCCTGATATCTTGAATTCTCGGATATCTCATAGTTTTTCTCGGTCCCATCGAGTTCAAGATAACCAGGTTTGACTGTATACATGTATGGTAGATTCCACTGATTCAGATAATAATTGTAAAGTAATATCCCTAGAATTAAAAGTTACAGGATTTTTAGATGGAGAAATTTACAGATAGATTTTACTTCTGTTTTATACTAAGTAGTCACATTTTTTGCTGGATAAAGAGGATGTTGATAGTTACAAATTTTGAATTTATTTTGTGTGTAGCTGTAGGAGGCCTTATGTCTCACATAAAATCCGTTTATCAACATCATGCAGTCTTAACAAAACAATGCCAAAATCCTTCTGAAGTTGACATTGAAAATTCTTTCTCTTGTACAGTAAAAACCTGATTGCACCAAACATGCTTTTAATGAATTCACGCTTACAGTGAAGTGATTTTCATTTCTTGTAGCTTTAAAACATATTATGAACTTATTGGATATAACAAATTGTGTTTATAATGAATTAAAATTGTTTATACCTGACAATTCACTATAAGCCTGTTTAATTGTATTCCTTTATTTGTTATTGTTAATGTCCACAGTATTCATAGTCGCTGTAAATTTTAGGTACAGTCCATCATTGACCAATCTCATGTGACTCCGGCTTCTCCCACCAAGATAAAGCTGGAACCTGTTCAGGAGGAGAGCCAGGGACCAGAGAGTTCGACCGACGAAGAGAAATTGGAATCTCACCAGTACACCTTCACTCCTGGTGCAGCCAAACTCAGTTCCTCGACCAGCAACAACGGGAAAGCAGGAGATTACCTCCAAATCAAACCGTGAGTATAGTGTCAAGCAGTAGTCGATTGAAAATTGCATCGTTAAAAATCATATAAATGTTTTTTAATGTTCGAAAAGGTACAATGTACATTTTACTTTATTCTCCAATCTATCTTACCTCTGTAACCTGTTGCAATATGGCAACTTGTTGTCTCAATATATGTACTTCTATAAGCCTTATTTGCATGTGAGATACATGTATGAATTGAACAGCTGTATCAACGTAACAACATGTTACAACATGTGGATATTGAGGAAAGATAAGAATGTCTACTTAATTGTCACAGAGCTTTTTTAATGCACTGTCTAATATACTTGTATATGTTCCTTTAATATCTACAGTCAAACTTCGTTATCTCAAACTCATCGGGACTAAGTATCTGAGGATCTGAGATATTGAGGTTAAATACATAAAGGACTTTTGGGACTTTCAAGTGACTTCAACATATCCATGGTACATGTGTATTTGAAGTGTCAGTGTTCGAGATAACAAAGTTCAACTCTAGTTTTGAGGAAGAATTTTTTGCATTAACCCCAGCTGTATAAATACAGTACACAATATGGAAGGTGTTTTTGAGAATTCACATTCTGACATAAGTATTGTGTTGTAGCGATTCCAAATTTAATGGCAATCTTAATAAGAAACCGTAAGTACCTCTGTTCCCTGCCATCATTTCCTCCCACACACTAATACTCCCCCCCAACAATCACATTTAACATTGCAGGTTCATTCATTTAGAAATTTTGCGTGTAGTGCACAGATACATAATAATCCTGCTTGATAAGCATTATTAAACAAGTCACAGTTTTATCTTTGCGATTCAAATCCATTTTGATAATTTTTTTTTAAAATTCAGTTGTTTATTTTGGGACAAATATTTTTTTTCATTTGTACTAACACAGCTTTCATAAGTGATACCAAATAATGGAAATGGTTTGGCTTTTTTGAAATTGAAGGGTTGCTAGTTTTTTATTTTTTATTCATTGATTTCTGCATGTCTGTGTTTTGGAATGTTCTATGGATAAAGTGTAAGAACCCCAATCTGTTTGTCTTCGCTTCAGTTCATCCAACACATATTTGGAGACTTGAGGTCTTTTTGGTCTGATCATTCAAACTAATAGAAAGAATGTTGATGAAAGAAGTGTGCAATGGCCTTGAAAATAATCCATAAGTTAATTAAGACAAGATCAGACAGAACACTGGTTTTTTTTTTTATTGCTGATGTTTTTTTTGATCCAAAGTTACATTTAGTATGACCTAGAACAAATCAGGGGTCAAGGTTACCATATCAATAGTATTTCTTCTTTCCCCCCGACCCAGTCTCATTTGCACTTTCAAACTAAAGAATTTGAAGTAACTTTGAACAGAGATAAAGAGTACTAAAAATTTTTATACATGTAGTAATATTTTGCTATAACTGGTAATATTATAATCATAAAAACTGTGTTCAGCTTATTCATGCCTTCCTTTTTCTCTCTATCCTTAACTGATTTAAATTATTTGAATGGGCATTAAATGAGTTATAGAGAGCAAGACATGTACATGCTAAAATAAGCTGAACACAGTTTTAAGATTAAATGAGGATTTTTTAACTCAGGATAATTAAATTTATTAATTAGGTTACAGGAGAGAGATTGTGACTTTTATTACATTGTTACATCTCACACAATAATTAAGAATAGTTGGAAACCATTCATCCATTCAACAATACCAAACTCATGCAGATGTAAGCCAAAAAACAAAAAAATGCAAATTATTCTCTGATTGATCAACTGTTTTCATTTAATATTCATAAGAATGAGGAAAATCTGCCTTACACAGCTACAGCTTTGTTGTCATTTTTAAAAATGTTTCTAATGATATTTTATTATTCATTTTGATACAAGCAGTTCTGTGTATAAACCTGCTGATCAATAAACTGGCTACCTTTTCTACTTTGCAGCTGCTAGTCTGAATAAATTTTATGTTTAAACAATTGATATGAATGACACGTAAGATTTAGAGGTTATAAATACATCTCAAATATCTCTATATGGCTGAGGATTCCAAATTACTGTAACTTTTATAACCAATAATTAATAACACATCGATTTTCTAGTATTGAATATTTATTCAGTCCATATATTTTGAGGGAATTCAAAACACTTGTCATGATTTGTTATTGTCTAAATTCATTAATTAAAGATAGATAATGTTTAATTCCACTCATTATTATGGAGTTCAGTTCACCTGAGCCAGTGACAGGAGTAAATTTTTCCATTTAGGCCATGCATCTGTTGTTGATTATATATTTGATTTCTTCTGTATAACATATTACTTAAAAATATTAAAGAACAACAAAACCATCATACTTTGTGTTACATGTAGTCATCCTTGTACAGGATGAAAATGTTGATATACTAAAAATGATAATTTTAGATAGAAGACACATGTGTGTCAGTAAAGTTATAGCCAGTGGACCTCTTGTCTTGATAAATTTTTATTCCAAGGATGAAATACAGATATAATATTGTGGATAATATACTATCATTAATTTCTAGCACACATATGTAAGCAGTGTATAATTCAGGATTTTAAACAGATTTGGATAACTACAATGCTATCAGCTTATTGCATAAAAAATTGTCATCTAACTATTATTTTTAATATCTTTTTCACAGTGACAAGAAAAATATACGACGTATGCACACTGCTGTGAGGCTGAACGAGGTCATCATAGAGAAGTCACACGAGGCTCAGCTTGTCATTCTAAACCTCCCAGCCCCTCCCAAGTCCGAGGCAGCGGAACTCAATTGTATCCTTTTCTTTGTCACTGTGTAAGTTCAATTCATTAAACTGTAGTTTTTTGGGGAATAAAAATAGAAATTTAAAGTTGTAAACAAAACGACAAGGCAACTTGTACAGGCTAAAATGAAAGGCAATTGTGTATATATAGGCCCCTTTAAAAACCTAGGCTAAAATAAAATGCATGAATACATGCAGTTATTGTTCTTTTCTTCATACTGCATTATTATTATTTGGCCTTAACTGAGTTAGTTATGGAGTACCTTGAGGTGTTGACCGAGGGCTTAGACCGAGTGCTGATGGTCAGAGGATGTGGAAATGAGGTCATCACCATCTACTCATAATACCGCCAGAATAAATCTTACATTGGCAAATCAAAGAGGGTGCAAAGTGGGGGAAAAGATTACATATCTTCTTGTTATGAACTGAAGATATATGCATATGCAGAGACCATCTGGAAGTATTTTTGGATGATTTTGTTCAAAACAGAGAGGTAGAACTTTACTTATTTTTAAACAATATGTGCATGTTTTACAGATACAGTAATATTAAAGCTTGTATTTTTTTAATTATATTTTTCATCTGTATGTGATAAAGCAATAAGGGCCAAAGGATTTTTTTTTTTACATGATGGGGGAAAATTGACACATATCAGTATAACTGATTGATTTTCACATTTTTTTATTATAACCAAAAGTAAATTAGTCAATAATTTTCCAGAAATAATTTTTGCTAGTTGTACTTTAGCTTATGTCAGTTTTTATTTATATTCCCACCTTTTAGCTGCTGGTAATGTTCATTTTTAACATGTGCAGGTGTTTCAAAGAGAATATTTTTCAATACAAGTTTGGCTTAAATTATGACATTAAATATTGATGTGAAATGCCAAGAAAGATAAAAAGAAACATGGCTGATTTCTCTCCGATAACAAGTACGTTCTCGCTGCTTATTAGAATGTAAATTGCTTTAATTAAAGGTCTGTGGCTCTAAATTAATATTGAGAATTTTTAATTATGAGTTGATTTGTATATCCACCCTTCACTTAAGGTGTATTGACCATCTAATAAGAGAGTTAACTCTAAATGGATTTAATTACCTTTATTTCCTTTAGAAATTGTCAGTTTTAAAGGTATTTTCTGTGAAACTTTGTGCCACAAGGTATGCAGAAATTGTTTGCATTTCAATGCAAATTTAGATTTTTTTTTTTTTAGAAAAAAATCAGGCAAATCATATGTGTTTTCTTTTGTCCAAGTGATAATTTTTTTGTTTCAATTTTAGTTGCCATATATATTTAATATAACCACTCTTAAATTGTATAAAGTACATGTTTGTGCAGAGTTTACCTGACAAATGCTGTCAGATATGTAGTTAGTTACCAAATATACCTATGATAATTTATGAATATGTGTTATATTTTTATTGGACGAATCACAGAAAATATATATGGATCTAAGTGTATTATGTACAGGCTCAGGATATTATGTAACTGCTTTCAGATTTTTACGTTTTTATTTGAGTGCCACTTTTCGTTTAAGTGACGTTTATTTTATCAGTGATATAGCAAATCATACGTTGTTTTATTTGATCAATTTACTGTCTCATATATGTGTATAATTATAGGTTGTATTAAGCCAGTGTTAGAAGTGATATCTACATGTTTTAACCAAATCAAAGAATTTTGTAAAGGAAGTGTATTATTTTAGAAGTACTCAGTATTTTTTGTAAAAGCATGCCAGCAATAATTTAACAAGTAATCATAATTGATCATCATTAATTTATTCAATATTTCTAGTCGGTTTTATGACACACTTTAAAGTATATGGATTATGTATTGAATTATAATTATTTTTCATTCAAAAGCTTGGTGCTAGGCTGCATGTCTGCTTTGACTGCAAAAATCTAAAATATATATAGCAGTAAAATTGATTTTTGGCATTGCATTGCAGTTATGAGATATTTGTTTTCTATGCCTAACTGAATGATTTCGAGACACAATAGATGAAAGTTTTTTTTTTATGAAAATAATAGAATAATCCTATTACAAGTAATTGTTTAGATGGGTTCAAAGTAAATTAGAGTGATAGGTTTTGCTAACTGTACTTCACAATTTACAATAATAGCTGAACTAGAATTTACTTGTACATTTTATGAACTTCTTGAAGTGATATGATAACACTCCCCCCCCCCCCCCCCCCCCCCCCAAAAAAAAAAGAATCCCTTCAAATTTATATTTGTGTCTATCCATCACTGTAGAAATGAATTTCTCAAAGTTACTGTATTTTATTTTAAATTCCCCAATCCATTTGACAATCTCATTTTAAATTTTTTAAAATAGAGTGATGTTTGAGATCAAATATGAAAATGTAAAAAAAAAAAAAGTGGTAATTTTTCTGCAAAGCATTTATATGACTTTTCTGATTTTTCTGTTTACATCAATAGGTATTTGAAATTCATAGAAATTCAATGTAAATATGAATCACATGCCCTTTTTCCGTTAGAATAATTTTGTAATTTTTTTATACAGATATTTCTAAATGACAATCCATTTTAGAAATTTATAAGCGAAGGAAATTTTAAACCAAAAGAAAAAAATCAATCAATCATACATTTGAGAAATAAAAACCTGATTGGTTTATCACATAAAAACATCTAGTCTTACACAATAAATTATGTATGTAAATGTATTTTACTCCATTATATGCTATGGTTTTATTGCATTACACGTAATGATAATTGCATCATTTCCTGTTTATTGGGGTTTTTTTTGCATTGAGTGTCTTTTTTTTTATCATTATTTTAACATTTGACAAAATACGTATCCTGTTTAATATACATATTTAAACCACACCTTCCATAAAAATAAAATGTTATTTCTAAGAAAAATGCAATTAGCCAGTTTCATTGCCTACCAGCTATAGCATTGAAATAAGAATGTGGACTGATATTTCATGCATAGACGTATTTAATAGAAAATGCTAATCAGTGAATAATTGATGTACTGGTATTTGGCTGTAAAAGCTGATGGTACTTTTTCTGTATTTTGAGGAAAGGTATATGTATCCAAAATATGTTTTTCATGGTAATTCAAACCCCTTACCATTTTCCAAATTATCCTCTTCATTTTTTGAAAGATACTTGTATATAATTTATGTCTGGACTTTTTTCCCTTCCAAATAGTTGAAAACTGCAGTGACCAAAATAAATATGATATACCAAATATTTATTTCATACAACACATATGTGAACTATATCACTTCAGCCATATCTCAGGTAGATATAGAAGAAAGCTTTGTATTTACTTCACCATATACAGTCAAACCCTATCTCGAACTCGATGGGACCGAGAAAAAACTACAAGATATCCAAGGATTCGAAATATCGAGGGTAAAATACTTAAAGAATAAGTTGGGACTTCCAAATCACTTTGACATATCCATGGTATCTGAGATATCGAAGGTCAACTGCATTTTAAAATTGATAAAATGTTTATTGATTTCTGATATTTGTTGATCAGACTTAAAATTTTAGAAATGAAAATCTAACAGGGAAAAAAATTTCAATACAAGACTTCTCCCTTTTTTATTCAAATAAATATTTTGATTTAAAAGGTAGTTTTATAATATTGTTCAGAGAATTTTTGATAGATATTCTTCCAGAACTAGTGATGGTAGTGTGGGTGTACTAGTCAAGCATGACCCCATGACAGGTGCTTGGTAATTGATCAAATGTATTAAACTCATTAAGACTGTAAACTTGTATATGTACATGTACTACTGTATTCCTTAATCTTTCTTGAGGAAGATTTTTAAATCATTTATTTTTTTTAAGGGAGGTAATTTTTGAGGAAAAATGAATGCCATGTGGCAAAACATTGTGTATTGCTATTTCGTTTTTCATGATATGAGATGTTACAAAGAATGGTATATTTTATCAAGACTTGTTGATAAAAGGTGTATTAAATATTGCAAATGTGTCTCAAAGAACTCATTGTTAATTCATACTTAGTAGTTTTAAATAGAAGAATTTTTTTATGATTTGAGCTAGAAGAAAGAAAATTGTCTGTTGGAAATAGAGAATTTTGTGTAGAAATTCAATGATTTATGTGACGTTTAAGTGCAATTTTGATTTTTGTGATTGTTGTAGTTTTATTCGATATAGAGCAATTTAATTTAATAAGGCCAGATTCTGTTTTCTGAGATGCAGTGAAATAAATCTATCTGCTTATTTTCCTGATGTTTCTTTTGTCTCTTTACTTGGAATTGTTCAGAACAAGGGGGCTTTTGATTGACATTCGACAGGAATCGGGGCGCACTTGAAAAGTGAAAACTTTATTGAACTGTCAAATTAAATTTTAAAATTCTTTTGATGTATTATGTTCCTATGAAATAGAAATGAAAATATTTTCATATAGTGAGTTTGATTTCTTTAAAAATAACTTGAAACATGGCTAGAAGAGTCATTTCGTTCAAAAAATGTTACATTTTTAAACATGTTTTTCTAAAATTTTGCTGTCTCTCTACAATTTTAAAAATACTTTTTTCTGTATTTGTATTCAAAGAAACAAACAAACATTTAAAAAAAAAAAAAAAAAATGGAGAGAAGATCCAGAGACTATGAAAACTGAACTTTAAAAAAAAAATACCAAGGTGTGAATGCCTTGCTTCTTTGTCATTTTAAATTCCATAGTGTTTGTGTAGCGATGATAGTTCAGTAGAATATATGTACGTTACCAATCCAGCGCAGTTTGGAGTTGAGAAGTTTTTGGTTCGATCCTCTTATGGAGCATTTTATATTTTTATATAAACAATCAAGTTGTTTATCAGTTGAATTTTATTTACTGATTTATAAAAGTTTTAAAAGAGATAAATTTTGGTTCAGTTGCATGGGGAGTGAAAGCAATTGGAAACTTCATTTCATATATCATACCCTATTATCTTGTTAGGTGTTTATCATTTATGTGAAGTGTTACTGTGTTATCGAAACTATGAAGATAAGTGGACTAAAATATTTCAAATTTGCAAGCTATTTCAATGTAAATCTGAACATTTTCCTTTGTGCCTAACTTTGTAAAGTCAGGCCACTTCTGGTCAGTCCACCAAATTGTGGACATTTAAACCATAAATGTTTCATACACATGATTCCTGCAGATCACACACCAAGTATGCCCATCTTCTTGGAGTATTTTGCCAAGAAGATTGGAAGCTAGGTGTTGTAATTGGAAGCTAGGTGTTGTAATTGGAAGCTAGGTTTTGTATTTGGAAGGGTATTGTAATTGGAGGCTAGGTGTTGTAATTGGAAGCTTGGTGTTGTAATTGGAAGCTAGGTATGGTAATTATAAGGGTGTTGTAATTGGAAACTAGGTGTTGTAATTGGAAGTGTGTTGTAATAGGAAGCTAGGTATTGTAATTTAGAGCTAGGTGTTGTAATTGGAAGCTAGGTATGGTAATTGGAAGGGTGTTGTATTTGGGAGCTAGGTGTTGTAATTGGAAGCTAAGTGTTATTATTGGAAGGGTGTTGTAATCAGGGATGGGCACGATTATTGAGAAATGTAATCGATTAATAATCGATTACTTAGAGAATTTCGTGTAATCGATTATTAATCGATTACACTAATTTTTGTCCAGAAAT